CTGCCCCTCAAGAGCTGCGCTTTATTTTTTTATTTCCCCGAAGCGGCTCAATGTCGATGAGCGAGACAGTAAGAATAAAACTTTTACAGCACGCTATTGACGTTGCCTAATCCAGCCATGATTCAGTAATCTTTTGCTTCAGTCCAGTAGCACTGAAAGTGGCCTGGTATACACGCCTTGCAGAATATTCACTCGCGTCTTTTTTAGTTTACTTTTGATGAGCCGCGTTACTACGTGTAAAGGGAAGGATTGTCGCTAGCCGATCTTTTAGAGGTACCGAAAGAAGTATGCAAAGATTTATGTATCCGTCTGCGCATCGATACTCGCGTCATCTGCGCAACTTGGCCTGGGCTAGGCCTAGCCATCCAAAGCAAGGTTCGAGTGTCTGGCATGTTAAACTTTCGTTCGCTCGGCATGCGTTCGCTGGAACAAAGCCGACTACCTTCTCCATTTGCGCGTTCTAAGTCCATTTTCTGCGAAACGCTCGATTGCCTCCGCCAAACAATGCCTTGCTAAGGGCATTTCTCACGAGTGGAAACGCCAAAGTGGCGCGTCCAAACGTACGCGCCGTCTAGCCAATTCTACGAAACTCAGATTTCGCGCTTCCATTGCGCGTAAACGAAAAAAAAACTCATCGTGTGAACCGTCACGGTTCAAGGGAGGAGTTTATCGGTTGCACGCCTTTGCACGGTCAGTGCAAAGATGTGGAACTTATACAAAGTTGCGACATATAGGGGGACACTACAAAAAAAAAAAAAAGTAATTGCTGCGAAAAAAATGTTTTTTTTTTAAATATTGTTTTATGTACAATTACCAAATTCTAAAGAGAATTTCCAGAAAGTTTACATTTGTTTACGCTGCATAGTTACTTTTTTATATATTATTTTCGGCCTACTGACGTTAAAAAGATAGAGGTTGAGCACTTTGAACTCTTTTTTCTTTGTTCGACTCTTTGTCATAAATTTGCCTTTAGGAAAATTATCGTGTGGTACTGGGACAAAAAAGGAAAGAATCACTAATTCTTTTTCCTTAGTGGAATTGTCTTAGAGGGGTGTCTTTTATAAAAGATGCTATATTCGGTTGACAACATAAGAGGCAAATAATTTATTTGATTTTTGAACACCATGTTACCATAAAATAAATTACATTTTTGAATTTTTTTTTTGTGTTGGACTCTATAGGTAGTCTGCTATATATCTAGTGAAGAAAAATGTTGGGAATTAGATAGGTTTTCTAACGATTTTTTCATAATTAATGTAAGTGTGTTCCAGATAAAAACGAAGTTTCTTTCGATGAAACTTTGCACTGCATTCTGCTTTGCAAATGTCAGTGTATTCTCTAAAATTAATTCATTTCAAGTCAAAGGTTAGAAAGTTGACCCTTTTGGGTAGTGTCCTCCTTTATATACCAACGTTTCCACGACAACGTCTTAATATACGGATGTGCGACTTATAGTCGGAAAAATACTGTAGATGAATTTCTTATAATTCGAACTTCTAATAATACAAACAAAACTCCTGGCGTTCTGGAGTTTGAAATAATTAGAGGTTATTGTATCTGGACCAGAATCTGTGCGTTTCTAGTCTAGAAACTCTGGAAATTGATCGTTATATGCCCCATGCGGGACTGATTGGAGCGTTGCAATCGCTTATTGGTGACGTAGTGACCAGCATGACGTGACTAAGTCAGGTATTTTTACCGTTCTTCTTTGCTTCGGTTGCGTGCTTTAGCTCGTAGCAGAAGAAACTGTTCCCTACGTGAATTTTGTTTCTGCTATCATGGATAACCTGCGTAGGACAAAACCTAAAAACCAGTCCGAATGCGCCAAGCGAAACGATCGCAAGTTGTGTGTAAGTTCAGCCCCGTTCACACTCTTGCGATCGAGTAAAACCGAGAGAGACCAGACCAGTTTTTAAGCCTTTTGCGATTTCTTAGGACCGGATGCGATGCAGCGCAGCTGGTCCTAAGAGATCGCAAGAGGCTTAAAAACCGGTCTGGTCTCTCGGTCGTACTCGGTTGCAAGAGTGTGAACGGGCCTTTACGATGGAATTCTACGATAGCTTCACGGCCGCTAACACCACTCGTAAAATTCGCCATGGAGACCAACGAGCTCTACGTGCTCTTTGCGTGCTTCTCGACTCCGAGCAGCAAACGAAAGGAAATACATACTCAGATACCATTCCCGGAGAAGGTCACTCGATTCACGGATTTCAGAAGCAACGACAACAATCCCAGCGACTTGAGTGGCCTCTCGATTCGGTGGGAGGGTCGAGAAAGGTGGGTCGGAAGGCCTAGCAAGTCGCCCGTCACTCGGTGCCTACGACCAGTGGCGTCATTAGGGGCCCCAAAGAAATAGGGGTTCACAACTGCGCACGCACCAAACCCAAACTCCGTTTTGGGTTTCGGGTTGGCGTTCTCCCCTAACGCAAAATTCGAGAAATAGCGTGGGGCCCCTATCGCCCATACTTGCTTGGGGTCGTGTTCCGTCGGCAAATATGGCGGCGCCCTTTCCGCTCGCTTCGGAGCATATTCGTCATAGTCGCTGCCATGTTTGCCCCAGCATTATTAGCCACGTTCGTTGCCAATGAAGGGTGCATCCAGTTTTCGTTTCGCTTTATCTCGCCCAAGTAACAAACAATGAGTGGTGGACTCGCCCCATTTTAAAGATTGTCCCTGGTTCTGGCCGCTCCTAAGCCTAAAGAGACGATGTAGCTGCTCCGTGGCTCCGAGTGAATTTCGTTCGTGGCACGATACTTGTAGCTTAAAAACAAGTATTTTTAGGCTTCAAAGTCGCTCCATCTCAAATCTAAATAAAGCAGCTTGTCGCAAGGTATGCTCGTTCACGTTAGTGTCAGTTTCAGCATGTTTGAAGGCGTGAATCATCAAAGCGCACACGGACGCCCGAAAATGTGAGAACAAGCGCAAAACTAGAGCGCTACGGATTGGATTGTTTTGGCTGACAGCCACCAACATTTATACTGATTTTATATTGTCTCTAATTTTAGCCGGCTTCATTTAGATTTGCAATCGCCATTATTTATAAATCAAAAAGTACTTTGCTAAGCGCATATGTTTTACTTTTTTTTTTTTTTTGATTATAAGATTAGCGCTGCAAGCGGGAAACGTAAGCGCGCTGCGCTGAGTTGCGAAACCTCTTTTCTAGAAGCCGTCGACGCTTTTGGGTCCCTCCATCTCTTAGGGTAACCCAAACGTCGGGGCCCCCTATTGTAGAACTCTAATATGTTTAAGCGACACGCATTCCTTTTTAACGCGATAACCAGCTCGTGTTCCAGAAAAGCCGGTGTGGGTGAGATGAAAAAATCCTGATTGGTCGATAGGGTCATGACGTCACAGCCACACGACAACACGCGGGAATTTCATACGACCCACAACGCTCACGTGAAACGTGACGTCGCGCGTGAAATGTAATTGCATAAAACATGACATGGTAGTGCGGATTCATATGTCTCAAATGATTTCACTTTATGAAGTAATTAACTTGCCTTTGAAGGAAAACATTAAAGCATCTCTGGCGGGATTATAATTTATAACCTACAATCCTTTGGATGCGAGCCAGACACGCTACTGACTGGACCACGAAGACACGCTCGCATCTCTCGTCGTCCTCTTGTGATTTTTGGAGTGTTGTGCTTCAGCTCGTTGCATCTAAAGCACCACGTGTGGCGTGCTTTGTCGTCACAGTGACGCACTTGTCAATTCTATTTGCATCTTCTTTGACGTAATAGACACGTTATGAATTACCCTCGGATTGTGTGGTACGTAGACTATTTTTCGTGTGTGTCTGTAAAACAAAGCAAGCAAACTGAAAAAAAAACGGTAATCTAAATGCCAAGCTCAACTCCTGCTTAGCCATCCTCACGATTGTTTTTTTTTTTCTGACTGATTTTAACAGACTCTAAAATAAAAAAAAGGAAGGAACTCCTGCGAACCATTCCATGCTAGAATGCACCTGTTTGGTCACTTGACAAGCCTTCGAAGCCATGACAACAACAGATTTGGTCGTGGTCAGTACGATGACACGCAACTGGGTCGCAGGGTGCTGATCCGTAGGCCGTGACGCAACCGCTGTCGCGCTGTTTAAGTTTAATTTTGACGACAAGTACAACGAAAGAATTAGGTCAAAAGCAACCCTAAACCCTTGTTCAAATTCACGAATAAAACGTGAATTGTGAGCGATACACCTCAACCTACATGCTACCAACAAAGCACAGAAGCGGTAATATGATCATTGCTACCATGTAACAAGAAGCAGCCACGCGGGTTCACTCTATCTAATCCGGGATAATGAGTAAGTAGTACATCATTACATGCGGTGTCTTTATAAGTATATTGCACTGTATTCTCTCTATTTGCCAAGCCTCCCGTATTACGCGGAAGGCTCCCAGAATTTTACCACTTCGTACGGTTTCACGATTGACATGGAAATCTCCCGGAAAACTAAAATTAACCCCTCCTATGCAGTGTCGCTACAGACGGCAGCAATGATAGCAAGCATCCGCTGTATCTCCCTAGCACGAGCATTGCAGTACAAATGTAACGAATTTGACTTCATGTAACTTCATTGTCAAGATTTTTTTTTTTTTTTTTAAATGGTACCCCTTGGTTCATAAAACCACTCGGATATGGTTTCTCCGAACTTGACACGTATGATTCTGTGTTTATCTTTTGTAAAACTTTTGCTTTGTAACACAGTCTGTTGCAACTCAAGAAGGTAGGGCGAGGGTAAGACGGGCCGGGGAGGAAGACGCAGACGGAACGCTAAAGAGAGAAGGAGATTTCCCCTTCTCCACTCCAGCGTTCCGTCTGCTTCCTCCTCCCGCCCGTCTTACCCTTACCCTACCTTCTTGAGTTGCAACGGACTATAGTAAATCCTTGGTCATCGTTAATGCTTTGACTTAGAGCTGGTAAGCGACCTTCTCATGTAGGATGTGCTGGTCTTTATACTAAATATGTTTTTTCTCACCGACACCTTCTTGCAGTTGTTGGGCGGCAGCGACTCGGAGCCCCACCTGTGCGTGAAGGACTCGGTAAGTTGCCCTCTTTTGTGTTCATGCGGAATTCCTTTCTTACTGAAACTAACAGCGATTTCGCGAGGGGTCTTATTGAGCTTTGCTGCGAAGGGTTGTCACCGATTTCCATTCGATGCTTATAAGACTGCACAGCTTGCAAGCACTGTATGTGCTCCCCTTAGATAATTAAGCGAAAACATGCACATTTACTCTTTTGCCTTGGAAAGAGAACCCACTGACTGGCAAATATCTTTTGGCGAAAAAAATTCAACAGTCAAAGTATTGATCAGTTGCTCCTTTCGATGCTGCATGTGCAGGAGTGGAAGTGGAAGTCCGCAAACAACCGGAGCTTGGGCGACCTCTGGTGCGAGCTGCTCCGCTTCTACGCAGCAGAGTTCCCAACGGAGAAGCACGTCATCTGCATCCGCCGTCTCAAGCCGGTCCTCATCTCCGAGAAGAAGTGGAACAAGCGCTGCATCGCCATCGAAGGTGAGGCACAGCGCTTGCTAAGTGTGCCAAGACTCGCTGCTTCTGTCGAACTTCGCGGACTTCGTTGTCGGCGGAATTCTAGGAGAGGCTGCGTTCTGGAGGTTTGCTGTCTTTAATCCAGTGACTCCAGAGGAGTCCTGTAGCTTTTGTGCTTCACAATATCTTGATGTTTCTTTTTTTCTACTTCTTCTTTCTAATTTCGCATGTCAAGGTTCCCGTATTACACGGGAGACTTCTCAATTTTGACCAGTTTGTACGGTTGTACGATTGACAAAAAAAAAATCTCCCGGAAAATGAAAATTACCTTCTTCCCCGTCGTTTACATGGGAGGGGGAAAATTCTAATCTCCCTCTCGTGGCTTCCAGAACGCTAAGTGAATGTCGAAAGACAAAGCAAATCTTCACAGGAAGGCAAAACCCTCTCCCGCGTTGGCCACGACATCACGGAAACGATGGGACGCTATTGGATGCGGAGGTGGCAGAGGGATATATGAAACCCTTTGAGGGGCATCTGCCGCTGCCTTCTTGGCGTGTAACTTAGTATAGCATGCGGAGTGCTATATAAATGTAATGAAGTTTTCTTCGTGTAAATTTCTTGTCAATACAGTCGATCCCATATATATCGAATTCCAAGGGTATCTTAAAATAGTTAGATATATTAATAGTTTTTTATACAAAAATGTGTTAAATTAAGCTCTAGTCTAAATTTTTTTTGCCGTTTCTCCCAATACCGAAGGTCGCGACAAACGGGAGCTTACCGAATAGATCATCCAAGAGCCCCTAAATACAGTAGAGCGTAGTTGGCGGAGACCGCAAACAGCGCCGCGCTTTCCAAGTGCGCCTGGCTGGGACCTCCACACAGCGTAAGCGACAAAAAACGACAATTTTAATAATGATAATTAAAAAACTGAAAGAACACAGAAAAGCGAGACGTATAAAAAATGTGTTGGTGAAAAAAAATGTTAAGCAAACAACAAAAAGGAAAGCTCACTAAATTGAGGCAGTGGGCAAAAAAATAACGGTAAAATAAGAAAGTGAAACATAGAAAATGCGTTCAAAGTGCGATTGCACGGCCGTTGTGTCGACACACTCGACTTGTTGAAGACGTTTTTATTCGCTTATTTTATTTTAAGCTAGGGAGTCATGCAGCGTCAGCATTTTTCGGGGAAAAGGTGCAGGCTACCGTTTTGACAGCGGGCACTCCTTGCTCTGTCAAAACGCGCATGCGTTCCCTTCCAGTTGCTTTTGCCCTCCTCCACTTTTTTTTTTCCCCGGTTCATGCTGGCTTGGCGCTCTTCCAGCCACGCAACGCAAGCGTGTGTTTGCTACCGGGGCAATCGAATCCCGGGAAAAGCAACGGGCGGACAGGCTTCCTTCGCTACATCAAGTGTCCCCGCCATGGGATTTAAATTGAAAAAGACAAAGCTCCTATACTACTACGTGTGATTTTCAAGGGGATATTTGCACTGTTTGATACAAACAAAAGTTCGAAATACCTGAGTGCGATACTAAAACCGGGCTGGCCTGTATTCGTTCTTAAAAAAAAATCTATTTCCTTTTTTCCCCTTACCATGCTTAGAAGCTTTCCCGGATTTGGTTTCCCCGAACTTGGCGTTTATGCATGTGTAATGTTGGAAAGATAGGTGTGTGTGTGTGTGTGCGCGCGTTTATTTATTTTCAGTCTTGTGATACTCCACTGGGAAGGCATGTCGCTGTCAGTGGGCATAAACCCATGACCATAAAATGACTTACTTTGTCTTGTCTTGAACACAGACCCCTACTCGAGTGAGCGGAACCTCACCTACTCCATCCCGAACGAGGATATGAACCTGTTCCTCAAGCGGGCGCTCCGGGAGTCTGCCATCTACTTCCACGAGCCACAGGTCACTGTGGCCATTGACCTGATCCGCGAGAACATGCGTGCGTGTCCCCGTTGGTGCGCAGACAACTCGAAGTTTGAGTCGGACTCTGATTCGGACCAGGAGGAGTCCCAGGTAAGTTCATCTATCCTCTACCACTCTGAGATTGCCCGTGCTTTTTTCAAGGTTGAGACAAGCTCGGGAGCCGACACGCATACCTGCAAACTCTCCCTTATTGTCCGGGAGCCTCCCGCTACCTGAAAACTCCCAAAAAGTTGTCTCCGTAGTTATTGTTTAAATTTTTTTATGACGCCCTCTTGCTATAATCATCACGCGCGTGTCAGTGCGAGTTAGTCGATAGTAGTTTTAGGTTACTCTGGCGAGTTACCACGTGACAAATCAGTTAGTGCAGCAGCGTAAAAAGAGGGTAGACTTACAAACGCCAAGGTAGAAAGTCTCTACTCTGGAGTAAGTTCGAGCGCATTTTGGAACACGGCTCATATGATCGTAAAAGCGCACTGCGCTAGGCTATTCTTTTTTTTTCGCTAGGTTTAGTTTTGCTGAAACTGTGATCACCCGATGCAAAGAGTTACGCACCACATCCATATCCACTTGGCTTTGCCAGGTCGGCGAGTGAAGTGCGGAGCGCTGAACTGCTCTGTGTTTTCCTGAGTGAAGTTGGAACAATCGATGGCGCTTTCAAAAGCCAATAAGTAGTTGCAAGTATTTCTGAGATCATACAGGATGGGGCTTCCGTGCTTTGTCACTTCGCGGAAAGATGACAAGTATGGATTGTGCACTACTTGCTCCTGTGATGCGAGCATTTCGCGCGGCGGCAAGACCGACGTCAAGATGCACATCGCTTCACAAAAACATCAGAACAATGTTTGTACCGCAGGAGCTCAGGGCACCATCGGCAGTTTCGTCAAAAACAACTGTGAAGAAAGTGTGATCCGCGCAGAATGCCTCTTCACAGAATATCTTGTCGAACTAAATATGCAGGGTTGTAAGAGTTGCTCATAAAAAGGGTAATTAAGTTGCTGCTGTTGTTGCGTTTTTGCAAGCACATGTAGTCAATTACTCAAACTTAATTCTAACTTAGCATTTAGTGAGTGATTTTTAACGAAATATGTTAGATAGCACTTCCATAAATATGGTACCCAGTTGAGTTTGTGAGTTCGCTACTTAGTTCACTGTCCGGTTGGTACTTGGTTGACTGTCATGCTCGTACTTGTTTGAGTATGTGAGGTTGGCACTTAGCTAAGTTAGTACATTATGTCGATGCCGACTTATGTTAGCATTTAACAAGGTGTGTTACGTCGGTATTTGGTTGAGTATGTTAGGTTTTTAGCTATATGAGTATGCTAAATTGGCACATAGATAAGTGTATTAAATTGATACCTAATCGTGATACGTGGAGCGAGGTGACAAAATGTGAAACGTTCACAATTCTCTGTAATGCCGAATTAGAGCGCAGCTCTTGAGGAGGAGGAGAGGAGGGTACAAAGGAGGAAATCCGAAATTTTCGCTAAATTTTCCGCTAGATTTAGCAAACCTTTTCCCGCTAAATTTAGCGGGTAAATATTCGCGCTAAATTTAGCGTGAAATTTACCAACATTGCCCCGCTAAACCTAGTTGGAAATTTAGCGAAAATGTTCTCCCTAAATTTAGCGGGGAAATCTACCGCTAAATTTAGCAAAAACATTTTACCGCTAACTTTCACATGACGTCACGCATGATGTCACGTGTGACGTCACGAGGGTAAACTTTTCCCGCTAAATATAGTGGAGATACTTTCCCGGTAAATTTAGCGGAAAAATTTCCCGCCAGATTGAGCTGAACGTTTTTAACTTTTTACCCTCGTGACATTACGTGTGACGTCATTTTGGGAAACGTCTTATAGTGAAATGCGCGGTTACGCCGACGGCGACGCTGCTCAACCCGGAAACGGGCGCTGAAGGGCTTTGCTCTAGAGAGGGGCGGAACCCCAAACCTTTTTGTCCCCTTCTTCTTTTGTCCCCTGTTTACCTGATTTAACTTGAAGTATCTTATGACGAATTCGGGTGGTCGATCGTCGGCAAGTTATTTTGCAGGAAAACCGGCAATAGTGTTCGCGTGGTCAGTTTTCAGCCGGCGCGCATTATTCGGGTGGTGGTTCCTCGGCAAACACCGGCAACTTTGCGGCGCTTTTTCCGCCCGAGCTCCAAACGGCCGGGTGAGTAGGCGCCAGACTGTATCCGGTGTTGTCACTTCCGAAATGGGAGAGAAGGTCAGGGAGAAAAAAAATGAACGAACCAACGAAACTGACCTGAAGTAACTTCAGCAGTCACTACTCGAGTCAATCCAAGCCGTTGGGACATGGGTGACGGCAGCTACGGCGGCGACAGCCTTTCACTAGCGGCGTCGCGTGGGTAAGAGGTGAAGATAACTGCCGCCGTCGACGTTTCGTGTTCGGGTGCTGAAAGTCACGTGGTGTGCCGCCGGCGCGTTACTGGTTGCCGGTTCTGCCGGCTCGGTCTCGCCGGCGATTGACAACCCGAATTCGCCATTAGTTTGGTACTTTGCACGTGCAGACCCTGGACGACGAGAGCGGCTCGGAGTACGGGTCCAAGACCCCATCCGCAAAACCCCAAAGGCGGAAGGAGGCCTCCACAATCGCCGGAGCATCCCAGTTTGTCCGACCCGGCCCCCCGATGGCCCAGCAGAACATCCAAAGGTTGTCGAGGCTCTCGAAAGAGGACTTCGACTACCAGTTCACACGCGAGACCCTCTCAAACGGGCGGGTGAGGACGGTTAAATGTTGGGGACGAATAAAGAAAAAGACCGTAAGTCAATCGCGGACGACGGCCTCCCAGCCAGAGTTCCATTTCTTTTTTCTTTCTTTCTGATTGCAGTTTTTCAAGTTTTGCGTACTTGACGATACTTTCCAGGTTGCAAGCACGGCAACGCCGGCTTTCAGAGGAGGCATGCAACGATGTTTTCTCACTTTGGCAGGCTAGTAGAAGCGTGCGAATGATTGGGTTTCGTGTTTAAATCGAACAACGATCGACCGTATATTTCACGAGACATTCGAGGCTTGGAATGGTTAGACGCACTGAATAGCTGGACAAAATCCGAGTTTGTTTGAAGACGAAGCATAGATCTTTCTGGAAGGAGTAGGACATGCTATTGACGACAGCGAAGCCCGCAAATCAAGACTGGCCACTAAATTAACCCCTTCGATGGAAAGTAGTTTGTTCCTTATGGTCCTCCAGTGTTTCGCAGCTCTGTGTACTACTAACCTATTTCTGATTTCTGCGACCATAATGCATACACACTCTAAAAAAAAGCCTGTGCGTCTGCTTTCCCGCACAACACCCGCAGAGCCAACCACCGCAATTTACGGAGGCAGCTCAGTGAATGACAATGCCGAAACATATGCTTAGACCAGAAAACGCAGTCTGAGTTGTGACATTAAGCAATGCAAAACGTCACGCTTGCATTGCTTACTGTCACAACTCAGACTGCGTTTTTTGGTCTAAACATATGTTCGGCATTCTTTCGCTGAGCTGCTTCCGTAAGTTGCGGTGATTGGCTCTCCGAGTGTTGTGCGTGAAATTAGACGCACAGACGTTTTTTGGAGTGCCCTAAAAACGTCTGTGCGTCTACTTTCCGGAACAACACTTGGAGAACCAATCAGCGCAACTTACGGTGGCAGCTCAGCGAAGGACGATGCCGAAACTTCTGTTTAGACCAAAAAAACGCGTAGTGAGTTGTGACATTAAGCAATGCAAGCGTGACGTTTTGCATTGCTTAATGTCACAACTCAGAGTGCGTTTTTTGGTCTAAACTATGTTTCGGCATTGTCATTCACTGAGCTGGTTCCGTAAGTTGTGCTGATTGGCTCTCCGAGTGTTGTGCGTGAAATTAGACGCACAGACGTATTTTAGAGTGCTCTAAAAACGTCTGTGAGCCTACTTTCAGGCACAACACTTGGAGAACCAATCAGCGCAACTTACGGAGGCAGCTCAGCGAATGACAATGCCGAAACATATGTTTAGACTAAAAACGCAGTCTGAGTTGTGACATTAAGCTATGCAAGCGTGACGTTTTGCATTGCTTAATGTTACAACTCAGACTGTGGTTTTTGGTCTAAACATATGTTTTGGCACTGTCATTCGCTGAGCTGCTTCCGTAAGTTGCGGTGATTGGCTCTCCGAGTGTTGTGCGTGAAATTAGACGCACAGACGTTTTTTAGAGTGCTCTAAAAACGTCTGTGCGCCTACTTTCACGCACAACACTTGGAGAACCAATCAGCGCAACTTGCGGAGGCAGCTCAGCGAATGACGCTGCCGAAACTTCTGTTTAGACCAAAAAAAAACGCGTAGTGAGTTGTGACATTAAGCAATGCAAGCGTGACGTTTTGCATTGCTTAATGTCACAACTCAGAGTGCGTTTTTTGGTCTAAACATACCTTTCGGCATTGTCATTCGCTGAGCTGCTTCCGTAAGTTGTGGTGATTGGCTCTCCGAGTGCTGTGCATGAAAACAGACGCACATACTTTTTTTTTAGAGTGTATGCCTTATTTTATATATCTATATATTTTGTCCTATTTAGTGTTTGCACATTGCACACATAAACTATGGGTATTGATAACCTGGAAGACTTTCAGACCACCATTTGGCCCTCTCCGTTTCGAATTCAATTTAGTATGAAATGTCACCGTTCGCACGCCTCCACTAACTACCTGTTACTGATAGTAAACCATTCAGGTTCCTAAAGTGTGCAACAGGTACCGGTTTTCGTCGACTCATTTTTTGCAGAAAAGGTTTTTGAGGACTGTAGTTATTTTTCTTGGACAGCTGTTTTCCTGCAGGATCCCTTATGCATTTAGGTGTTCGTTGTTTAGTTTCTAGGCTTGAGTCCAAAAGCTCGGAAAGTTCGAGTCCAGAGCCGATGGGAGCTTACCTTACTTCGTTACAGGTTTTGGTGCTTCATGCTTCGCACCACCAGCACATAGGAACTACAGACGTGAATCGGGAGCGTCGCGTTATTGAGAGTCGACTGTAGTTTGCTAGTTTCACCATTGACCGAGCGTCCAAATTTGTCCGCATCGGTTTTTTTGGGTTCATGAAAAGTCCGATATTCTTAAGCTCGTAAAGATTGCAAGTCATCTCAAGTTAGTACCGTGTTAAATGAATATTCCGTGCGTATAATACTGGTGCAGAAATTTAGGGAATATGCTGACGCTGAATTTTCACGGAATGTACTGATGCTTAATTTTCAAGGAAAGCGGTCATCCGGTATCTTTAAGGAATGCCATAACGCTGTATTTTCAGAAAATATATCGACGCGGAATTTTCAGGAAACATACCGGCTCATAATCGCCAGAGAATATGCCGCCGCAAAATTTTGAGCGACCTTACCGGTGCAAAATTTTCAGGGAAAGTCCAAATGGACAACTTTCAGAGAATCTACTGACCACTTTTCTAGGTATTCTTGCTCGTCATTCTGGGGGAGAGCTGGTAGAATTTATGGAAATTAGGGATGCGATCTCCCCACATAATATTTTCATTGTTGCAGGAGCCTCAGGTGATCTGTCCCTTTTGTATGGAAAAAGGGCACCTGAAGGAGGTGAGTAACGTTATCTGCTGGAAGCCCGGATCATTTTCCAATTATCTACATGAAAACACACAATCTCAGTCAGGGAATGACATCCATGATACGACGTGATGAATGTTAAATTTGTGCTTACGGAACGACAGCTTGAACGGAAAATGCATCCCGTACCAGTCATAAGATCACCTAAAGAAATAAGCACCGTACATGATAGCGTTCTCGTTAGCCAGTAGCTTGCGTCGTTACATGAAACTAGCTGTTCCACGGAATCACCACATGTCTTGGGTGTGTTAATGAAATCCCTTAAAGTTTCTGTCCAAATAATGTGGCCACATTGCGTGAAAAATGGTCATATACTGAAAGGCTCAGGCATGCTTCTGCACGATTTATTTATTCAAAGTACCTCAAAGGCCTGTTGGCATTATTTGAGGGGAGAGAATACAGTCTACTTAACATGAATAAGGAATGGCGGTGAGCTCGCCGACTCCATACAAACAATATTGCACAACGGCTTGCTTCTAAGTTAACCAAACATTTTCACAAATCGGTGACAGAAAGCACATAAAGACATAAAGGAATAAGAATACACGCATCAACATATCGAGTAATGCAAAATATAGATACTGTACCCAGTTCACTAGGAAAGCACATCGTTACACATTTTTAATTGGCTAAAATATACAAGGTTAACTCTGAAGGAAACAGTGTTGGATCAGATACTGAAAGGACGGCCTCGGGAAGATCATTCGAGAGCTTGATGGCACGTGGCAGGGAATAGTTTTTGAATGATAATGATCTCCCAAAGATGCGTTTAAAACTTTTAGTGTTAAAAATACACGATTCCTTGTTCAGGAGTTCCAGATGCAAGAACAAAGTACCACCGGGGTTGTGGCCTAATCAGTGAATTAAGCATAGAGAGAAATGTTACGTCGGGTTTCCAGTAGACAAATAAAAAATTCCTTGATTAGCGACACACTGTCGAAACGCGAATATGATGAAATAAACCGAACAGCTCGGTTTTCAATGAGCTCGATTTGATTAACTGAGTATGTTTGGTGAGGGGGCCCAGATAGCGCATCCGTACTCTAGTTTCTGGCGAACACAGGTTTCATAGGATAATTTGCGGAGGCGAGAGGCTAGATTTCCGATTGCGTTTCAAGAAACCGGGGGTACGGGATGCTTTAGCGGTTATGGTGTTAATGTTGGAAAGACAAGAAAGATTCGAACTTAGTTCAATACCGAGGTACTGATAAACAGAAACAGCGAGCGACGATGGGCGAATTCTTGAGTAAATATGCGAAGTATGAATTTGTGCGTTTACGGGTAAGAAAAAAACAAGCGGGAGTCGCCGCGTGTAGCATGCTCGTGTGAGCCCGTGGGGACTCTAGTAAAGTAGCAAGCTGGAAGAGTTGCTAAAATTTGAACGTAATTCCTTCCTCCATTTCTTGAACATTATTCCTTCCTCGTTTGTCCTTGTCTCTGCACGCGATTTTTGATTATGGTCCCGTCGGGTCGACGGAGTGCCTTGGGCAAAAGGGGACGACGAGCGCCTTGCTTCCGTTACTTTTACAGAAGTGTCCAAATCAGATCCTGCCGCAACTGGTGGAGCTTCCCCCCATGACGCGAGGCCACATCATGATCCTCAACGACGTCTGTCTGGATGTGATGCGTGAGTGTTCTACGTTCCCTTTTTACACTAATAGTCGCTGCTTGTTTTTCACACCACTAGAAATGACGTCTTCTGGTGACGTTGTAGTTGTCGTTGATGTAGTCCGCATAGTAGGGCGTAGGGTGTCCATTGTCGATGTTGCCAAACCTTGCAACCTTGGCCTGCCGCGTGCCAAGCGGAGGCATTATGACAAAACAATGCTATAGCATTAGTCCAATGAACACATGTGAAACATAGACGATATATAAGAACTATATAAGATAAATAAGAACATATAAAACCATATAAGAAATTTATAAGAAACTTCTCACAAGTTTTTTTTTTATGTGGTTCTTAGATGGTTCTATGTTCTTATATATCTTGTATGACTCGTGCGTTCATGGTACACAAACATTTCTCATACAAATGACATTCTTCAATAGGGTTGACGCTGTCAGTGCCAAGAGCTCGTGCCAGGAGACACGCTTTGACGTGCCGAGTAACAAAAATGAAACAAATGCCTTCTGAACTAAAAGTCAGATGCCTATTTTGTTCCGAACACCCCGCGGTGCGTGAATGACACGCCGATGCTCAGCGACTTCGCCGTGACGTTTCGCCACTGTCTCCGTGACTGTGCTGTAATTTAACGCAGGACTGCTCCATTCTTCTTTTCATGCCTGTTTTTTCACTATAGTTTTTTTTTATACTCAAGTTAGCTGATGAGAGTGTAAACATCAGGCTGGTTCGATTTAGCTGCACCTCCTGCACATGTGGAGAAAACGTGTAAGGTAGTGTACTTCCGGTATGTTTATTGAGAAAAGACCGGAAGTACACCGCCCTACACTTTTCTGCACTTGCGAAGGAGCTGCAGGTAAATCGAACGGACCTATTGCAGAGGGCGCTTTTGCTGCTCACCATAAAACATGCTCATGAAATCGGCTCGCTCTTTGCAGGCCAATGCTCGCCGCGCTCTCATGAAGAAAAGGACCGCAGCAGGCTCCTTCATGGGCTGGAGCGCCTAATCAGAGAGCTGTACACAGGTGCGTAGATTACCTTTGCATCCGTAAATATCTGCCGTAGTGTGTTCATACGCAGCACACTTCAGAAACGCCTGCTTGGATCATACACATATTATCATTAACAGAAACTGTAATCTCCAAAATCTGTCACCTCTCATATGAAGAACCGTCGTGTAAAAATAAATCCTCATAAAGTCTATAATCTGCGCCTGTATATAGTCAGCACTGCATATAACTTTTAAACACGTATCGCTTGCAAACCACTGTAGAACCCCCAAAAATAACTCGCCCCTATTTTTGCACGTTTTGCTCTTTCTTTAAACACACAGAAATCTAGCCCACTTCTAGAAACTGCGGGGCCCTGGCCCATGGTGACTTCTGCAGAAATAGTGTCGCTTGGCTGCGGAGGGAGATAAACGAACATTGCGGACTGGAAAGGGCCGTCATCTTTAGTTCATCGCCCCTCGCTGCGACTTCCAGTTTCTCTGGTCACAAAAGCTAAAACTAGCATTTTGTCAACTTTCCTTGATCGCACACAGAAAGTTATTCCGCTCCTTATTTTCGCCCGATTTGCATTCGATTTTAGGTGGGCTCTCTCTCCGGATATTACGGTATACATAAAGTGTGCTAATGCCACACTGTTGATTCGGTATAACTTTGTTATTTGGAACAAAAGGTGAATGGGGTAGGAAAGGCACCAAATGTTGTCTGTTAGCATCACGGATATTTTCACCCTGCATATTACAGTACAGTGTATTCATGTTACACGTGGCTCGTCACTCGGGTCGAATATGCAGATGCGAGGCTGACACTCTACGGCTCCTCCTGCAATGGCTTTGGCTTGGCGAGGAGCGATCTCGACCTGTGTCTGACCTTCGATAGCAGCAAGGATGGCAAGGTGGGTATTCACTCTCCAGGTGAACACCTGTCGTCTAGAGTTTCAATTATCTTCCAAGTCGCATGGAAGGATGTTTGTCTTGTCAAACGTTGCGATGCGTTTTCAATGCAGAACTCCTCTTAACGGAACCAAGTTGGCATCTGCGTGCATGTCGCTACGGCCGTTGCATGGCTTCGTCAATTAAGTTGCGGGCTAATGTCCCGCTGCATTTAGCAGGATGCCGCTATGGCTCACACGGCTGCCGCCACGGCGGGTCGCGTGATGTGCGTCAGGCCGTGCCACGTCACGCATCACCAATGTCGCGAGACTCGCGCTGCGAGGTTGTAGTGTTATGATCTTGAATAACATAATTAGATCACGGGCCCACATTCCGTGACATCACATCATGAGGCACACTGTCACGGTGCCCAAATATTATATAGTTCGTGGCGCATGTGGCTCGTTAACGAAGGTGTCGGTCTCGACCCCACGATTCATTTTGCATTTTCTTTTCTCTAGAAAGCTCCAACGTTGTCAATCATTTTTCATTTTCATCTTCCGAGTGTATTGAACACCGTCAGCTTTGTTTCTCATTTTCGCCCTCCCTCTGGAAAGTTTCAGTCCATTCTCGACAGTTGTTGCATGTTCTGGCTTCAAACGTTCCCGTGGCGGCTCGACGTCTCCGCAGGAACTCTGCCACAGCCAGACGATTCCCGAACTGGCTAGAAAGCTGCGAGCACACCCAGACCTGGCCAGAATCGTTCCCATCACCACGGCCAAGGTGCCCATTGTCAAATTCTACCACCTTCCCAGCCGGCTAGAGGGCGACATTAGCCTCTACAACACCCTGGTGAGCAAAGCCATGGGGGGGGGGGGGGGGGGGGGGGGGGAAGAAGGGGACGTATTTACTCGGATATAAGTCGACCAAAAATATAGGTCGATGCCCTCATATTAAACTAGGTGAGAATAAAAATACAATTCTAATGTGGTAAACTTCATTTTTTAAAAACAAAAGTTTGTTTCGGCAAAAAAAAAAAAAATTACTTACAGCACTGTCGGCTCAAACTCAGCACGATGCCAAATTTGTCAGAACTTCCGGACATGTCATCTTCGTCGGAAGCTATGTCAGCTTCGTGGATATCCTCACAAATTCGCAACAAAACCTCGCTGACACCGCTGCAAATCGGCAACAAGAAATGAAAGCCGCTGGAGACAGGCGAAGCGACGAAAGATCACATACAAAGACGCGAGCAACGCCGCAAGCCGCCGCCAGCCGTCACGTGTCCAACAAGAAGCGAAAGTAACCTCCGTATTTTGTTTTACTGTGCATCCGCGAGTAAGGAAAGGAGAGGAGGGGAGAGGGAAAGGCAGTGGGGCAAGGTGCCTGGCGTGTCGCGTGGGCACTCTTGCAACCGAGTACGACCGAGAGAGACAAGACCGGTTTTCAATCCTCTTACGACGTCTTAGAACCAGCTCGACTGCAGCGCATCCGGTCCTAACACGTCCCAAGAGGCTTAAAACCCGGTTCCGTCTCTGTCGCTTTTACTCGGTTGCAAGAGTGTGAACGGCGCTTAATGCCCGAGGGAAGCGCAAGCGGTGGCCACGACGGGCCGCCGGCTGCTGCTTTCTGAATCAAGAAACATTGCAGCACTAAGGTGACGTCGGCTCGGTGTCTCAGTGGCTCGATAGCTCCATGCAATCGAAATTTTCTAGTCACGATTATAGGTCGATCTTTAACTTTAGGCATTTCAAAAAAAAAAAAGACAAAAAAAAAAGGTTGACTTATATTCGAATAGATACGGTAGTTAAATCTTGGCGGTATCGTGGGCCACACAAGCTTGTGGTGCTCGTGCGGGGGAATTACGTGCGTTGCCGTGCACTCACCCAAACTCGACCCTGTGAGCCAGCCGGCATGTGGCACTCGGCCTTACATTCTCACCAACTCCGCCTTCTGATACGTTACAGGCTCTGCACAACACGAGACTGCTCAAGGTCTACAGCGCCATCGACGAGAGGGTGCGTGTGCTGGGCTACACGCTCAAACACTTTGCAAAGGTGAGCCCGTGCAGCGAGTGAACGCCGAAGGGGAAATGGGGGGAGGTTCTCACGACGACTAGTATGGGGAATCTCACGTAGTGCTTTTAATGGAGAATGCAGTCTATCAGAACTGGTGTCGGGGCGGCCTAACGTACCGTTGAATTTAGTGGGCACCATTATGTGTGACGTAGTCCTGCGGTTGGATGTAATATGAATGACGTGGTCATACAGTTGGTGGAACTCTCGGTTACACGCGTTCACATCACTGTCAAAACATGCGGTCAAAACATGATGTCGCGGTGCCGCACGTTGTCACGCTGCCCAGATTAGCGTTTTAGGGACAAACCGGGTAAACACGTGCGTTTTGGTCTCGTTGTTACAGACAGCTCGTGTTGTGGATGCTTTTTTGGGGAAGAACGGAGGCATCCACGTGAATTAGACATCGATGCATGTCGTGGATGCATTCTGCGTAACGGGGCGTTTGGGCAGTAGATGTTTGGCGACTTCTTCGGGTGTCACGTGATAATGAATGCCAAGGGTGTCTCACTTCTGTCGACAGACCTTCGATATCGGAGATGCGTCACGGGGCAGCCTGTCTTCGTACGCGTACATCCTGATGGTGCTGTACTACCTGCAGCAGTGCCAGCCGCCCGTGATCCCAGTCCTGCAGGAGGTGGGTGATGCTAGTCCCGTCGTCACTACTCTACCCTAGGGCTACTGCGTAGGCTGCGCTTCAAAGTACCGACACTTGAACCACCTTGCTGCTGAACATAATTGTTGCAGTTATGTGGAGTTCTATATGAAATCGCAGGAAACACTTTTACGTCCTGCAGAGGTGATGAAAAGAGGCCACGACAGAGCAAAAACGATGTTGTCCGAGCTTCAGGACACCGTACTGAAAACTTAGGAAGTTGAATTTGGGAATCGTAACTATCGCAAGTTGCGCCCATATTGTGAATGTGTCGGACACCTAATGCTGGTATATATAATAAAAATGACGTGTGTCGAATACATAATTGGGCATTCATAATATGGTTTGTTTTGCATGTTCTGCTTTCCTCAAATTCCGTTGATGTCTTACTGATGTCACTTTTTGCCGGCAGCTCTATCCAGAGGGAGACAAGAAGCCAGAGGTGATCATTGAAGGATGGAACGCCTGGTTCTTTGACGATATGGACCGCCTGGTAAGCCTTTGGACCGTGTCGTGGTTATTTTTCAGTTAAAAGTATAAGGATCTTTTATTTGTGGTTGGTATTTCAAATGGAAGTTTGAAGAACATATGCACTTTCACCATTCAATCTTGCGAAGGTACAATTCTCGGGTAACTGCAGTCTCGGTCAGACTCGCTACCCGACTGTGAAGGTTGATTAAAAAAGAGCATATTTGGTATACAGTTACGTATTGCGTCTCAAAACGCCGCAAAAATAAACTGAATAAAATGTTTTTCGTGCTTCCGCAGTCAGGAAATTGACGATTAAGCAACCAAAGGGGGTTCATCTTTGAACGTGCACTATTTAAAGGGCCCTTGAAAAAATTAAAATATTTAAACAGTCTGAAAAGGACACGTGAGATTTATTTTTAAATTTTGCACGCAAAGTCTATGACCTCACGGAATGGACATTCGCTCAACGAGAAGGTAATTCGCTCTTTCCACTTCAACATTAAGGCGAAGCCGATCCACCTATCATCCATGCGCCCAAAATGCCGACAGTGAGAACAAGTGGAAAGGAGGTGACTACCGACTAAATCACATCTTGCGCCGGAAATATTCCTTTAATTTTTTTCGCGTAAATTAAATTTTTCTTACGCGCGTGCCGTAGCCAGATTGCTTAAAGAAGTCATTTTTGTGTCTTTTAAGGGGGAATGCTTGCAAAAAACCTAAACTTTCTTTATATTTAGAGCTATATGTATGAAACTTTAAGGGCACATTCATGGCATATATATATATGAGTAACTGTCAAATTTCATAAAGCTGTGCCCATGAATTCTCAATCTATTCTTCTTTTTTTCATTATGGTTCAAATTCTTTCTTTTCCCAAGCCGTGGAGAAATAGCAAAACAAAGTGGAAATGTGAAATTTAATATAAGCATTCCTGGATAGGCACCCGAGGGCATGGCAGGCGCTTTTTATTAATTTATATTCGAACAAATGTTTGCACAACATTGCATTTGATATTGTTGGTCATATCCTCGTCCATCAAATTTAATTTGAGTGTTATAAAATATTAACACAATCGTCTAAAAAAAGAATCTTCTCTCACCAAGTTATTAAGGAAGAGAATGGAAGAAACTGCACGCAAATTCATTAAACAGTTCTTCAGATATTGCTGAGATAACCACCAATTCCAGCGGAAAACTGCATTCTGAGAAAATAGCAGTTGAAAGCTGCCCTTACATTTTCAGCGTTGAGCTCGTTTCACGTGACGCGATTCTGCTTGCAGTTTTCCTTTTCGTGTTGCAAAGAGCTTACGGACACAATTCGGATGCTCAAAAGTCACTGTCCACGGCTTTTATTCGTTAGCTTTCTCTCGAGCAAGCAACGTTGTAACCGAAAATCGCGATAATCGCAAGCAGGATTGCGCTACAAGAAACGGATTTACCCGCAGAGTAGTTGGAAGTGTCCTTGCATACTTCCTTTTTGTTCCGCGGTTGTCTTTACTTAGTTTCAACGGTCGATGGCCTGTATCGAAAAAGCGCAATCTGAAGTAGTGACGCGATGAGCCTTGGTATCCCGCTATGCAGACGCGGGCCGCCGATGCTGCTTCTGATGGTGGCCATGCAGAGAAGCTACCATGAACTGATTTCGTCCTTCGAATGCGCGCACCGTCTCTTAATTCATTCCCCGCACCTCTGTGGCCACGAAACACATGGACAGAGTGTGCGAAGCCACTAAAACAGAGGGCACCAAACGATCACAAACATGGCGAAAAGCACACACACAAAGCGCAGGAACAAGTAAGTAGACGACGCGAGGCTGGTGAGACGCGTTCCGGCTCCACGGTAGTCATGGCAACGAAGGAAGAACAAACGTCGCGGCCAATAGTAGTCGTGCACTCTTTTGAGCGGGCGCTTTGGCCAATAACTGCGTCGCAATCGCGAGGCGAGAAAAAGCTGATCACGCCAAAGTTATGCTGCGGACACAATTTGAAGGGCGTCAAAAAACAGAAAAAAATCCCATTGGTGGATTTTTAGCGAATGTGTTAGCATGACCTCTGGGAAACGCCACACACGTCTCTATTTGGGAATTGCTAATGCTGATCCCTTCACTTTATTGTTTTTGGTTTCCTTTTTGCTTCGTCTATTTTTTTTCTGTCTCCTTTTGGCCTCGCTGTGGAGTCATTGTTGGCGTTTTCCAAAGGAGGCCGTGTATGGCGTCTCCCAGGAATCATGCTGACGCATTCGCTGAGAATCCACCAATGGGTCTCCCTGCAATTGTTTTCGCTCTTGGATACGATCATCCATATGCCTCGTGGAAAAGACCACACTCATACCAATCACGGGAGGAACCGCATCCATATCACTCGTGGAGTGAACCGCATCCATCGTTTTAACTAATCACACACATCCCAGCAAATGCACCCGTACTACGAAAACCCAGAGCGAAGAAGAACCGGCGACGACTCGAGCGGCAGCTGAGCACGCCTGCATTCTACCGCGCCGCGGCAACACCTCCTACATAAGAAAGCCCAAGTGCTGAATTTTTCTGCGTCACTAAAGAAGGCTATCGTAGGACACAGATTGGACACGACTGCTGCCTCAGCGTTCGGCCGGAACACGTGTCCATTCAGTGAGAGTCGGAGTCCCTGCCGAACACTGAGGCCGTAGTCATGCCCAATCTGTGGCCTTCTTTAGTGACGCAAGAAAACTCATCATTTAGACTTTCTTATCGAGGGGGTGTTGGCCTTGGCGCGTCCTCCTCTCTGGCTCTGCGCGAGCTGTGAGTGTTACATTAACGAAAGCAAAACGGATCGTTTTCGAGAAAACCCGGCGGTTTCTGTCGGTTTCTCAGCGCCGGGGAGAGAGGGGGAGGTTAGCACATGCTGACGTCAGTACTTCAGACCAAAGGCAGCTTCGCACGTGTCACGCACACCCTCTCTTTTGCTCACTCTCTTTGGCACTGACGAACAAACGACACCGCCGGGTTTTCGTTAAAACTCCGCTTTAAAAAAAAAAAAAAAAAAAAAAACACGATGGCGGTTGTTCGACAAGATGAAAGCAAGCGGCTTGATTTTGCGTCTTCAGCGCGATTGTGAAGCCGCCAGGAACTCGTAAATATTTGTTAAAACATATTTTCTTAGTCAATTAGCTGTTGATAATTACTGTGGAGGTAGTTTAAAGGGATACTGAACCGAAATTTTGAGCTCACAAAACAAGGCTGGACGGATAGGCAGGGACGGTGCAAAACCACAAAACAACACTCATACAGCGATATCTCTAACGGATCGCCGCATTTTTGAAAAAAAAGAGTGCGAGATTGAACGCGACCCTGAGGCCGATAAAACAAGTATCGTCACGATTCTCATTTTCATGAATGATCACAAATATCAGAGCTACAAGGTTAATCTGATACGGTGTCCGTTAATATTTATTTTCTCTTCACCGAAAGAGCCGATTAACTTTTCTCGACATAAATATACGCCGAAAAAACCGGAAATTAAATTTTGAAATAAACACCGAAAAAATGTCGCCGAATTTTGAAAGAAAAAAAAATAGGAACCGAAAACGCGGAATTGTAGAGATATCAATGTATAAATGATGTTTTGGAGTTCGTATACTCTTTCTCACCGTTTCTGCGGCTTTATTTTACAAAATTCAAATTTCGATTCAATATCCCTCTATTTCGGTTCAATATCCAAAAAAAGTTGTTTTCCTAAAATCTATTTTTTCGCAATTTCTCGGTTTTCCATCCCCGTGCCCCTTAGATCTGTTTATCCGACTTCAATTATCTTCGTCTCGCTTTGAAGGTGCTTTCTCGCTTTCTGTTGCACAACCTCGCAAACTGACGTCGATCCCGCGGCCACGCCGTGCTGGCGTGTTTCCCGCCGCTGTGGGGCACCCTTGCGATTGCCTCGACGTCATGCTGAGTCATGCTTTGTCGTCTGCAGCAGTCGGTGTGGAGCGAGTTCGGCCAGAACAACGAGTCGGTTGGGGAGCTCTGGCTGGGGCTGCTCCGCTTCTACACAGAGGTGTTCGACTTCCGGACCGACGTCGTCAGCATCCGGCAGCGCGAGCCCATCACCCGCCTCCAGGAGTCCTGGACGTCGCGCTGCATGGCCATCGAGGGTGAGTCGTCACCTTGTGACATGCTGTTTTTCGACACGAACTGGATCCCCCTGCTCCACTTCAGAGGGTTTAGTGAATACAACTTGGAAGGCGCAAGCGTCTGCCGCTTTGCACTGTCTCTCGTTGAGCTCCAGCATGCTCGCTGCTTGGGGCGTGCCACGGAATGACTAACGATGACTCAATGGTAATAGTTTGAAGTCCCTGACGACCGTCGTCTTCGACCAACACCGAAGTGTGTTTTTAGTGTATCCTAGTGCATTTTCGTAGTATCGTTTTTTTTCTGTCGATCAGGGTAATAAATGTATGCCCAATACTGTTTTGGATGATCAGAGGGCTGTTTTCCAGCCCAGACTGTGCTTAAAATACTGACATTTTCCTCTTTTGGTGGTCCTAAGTTGTTTTCTCGTTTTGTTAATCGTGGTACTTATGTTTCAGACCCCTTTAAACTGAACCACAACCTTGGCAGCGGTGTCTCCCGGAAGAGTGAGTTCCTTTTGAGAACCGATTACCAAGGGATACCAATTTTTCGAATTGTTAAGTTTGCGCCATTTTTCTAACGAACAAGTACAAAACGAGTGCGACTTAGTACCGACTCGTGCTGAACCGAATGCCTTCATTCCAAGGGTCCATGCCCTGACTGCCATTCTTGTCGTGACATTTCAGTGAACGCCTCCATCATGAATGCCCTGATCAATGGTAGGGCGCTGTTCGGGACCCCGTCCCGAAAGCTGCCCACCGCCTACGACAGCTACATTGTGAGTATCCATCTCTCGTCACGTTAAGGATGCTTCTATGGTGGATACGCCATGGGAAGGACATTTGCCACCTCATGTGGTGGATAAAAATTATTGAGAGCGATTTTACAGCGAACCTGTTTATGACTAAAGTTCCGTGGATTTTTCGTGTGCGTCCACAAAAACTCGGGCGCCGAATTTGATGCAAAATTGCTTCATTCTATGCAAAATGCTTATAGGTCTCATCACTTCGATATGCATTTTCAGTAGATTAGCTATTAATACGCACCAGTTTCAAGATCAGTAGACGCTGCAGTAGATAATAAAGGTTTCTCACAAGATTGGCCGCTGTGCGACCCGCGTCGGCTATGTTTACGCTCGCACTGCCTTCCCTTTGTTGTCGTTCCAAGTTACTTGCGTGCCTAGTTTTCTTTCCTTCCAATTTCCCGGGATGGCGGTCCCGTCGCGCGTGTCTACTTTCTGCCGGGTAGAGGTCCCATCGCGCGTGCCTAGTTTCCTCCGGCTCGTCACGATGACCACAGATCAAGAAAATAAATGTGTTCGTACCGTTGTTCAAAATTTTGTGTACGTCTGTGTCATCTGTTAAACAGCTTGACTGGTCCTCCACCTTCACAGAGGGGAATGGCTCATGATTTTTTCTCAGCTTTGCCTTTTCTTGTCAAGTGTCTTTGCCTGACAAATTTTCTAATACTGTCGTTACTCGTAACTAAACTGCATCCTAAAGCTTCCTTTTTTATTTTTGATGGATAAAAAGTAAATAGCTGAAACATAATGTAATTATTATACCATCCATTGGTTTTTCACAATTGTTATTTATTTATAATAAATGACAATTTTATAATACTTATTAGCTTTAGAATGTATGTGGGACCCTAGGAATTTTTCGTATCAAGTTTAAATCTAGTTCTTTTCGAAGAAATCACTTTAGCGACATATAAGAAATGACCTAAATAGAAATTTAGAATTCGCTTCTAATTAAATTATATAATGCTAATTACAATTATATTATTTATGCAATAATATTGAAAAGACCTAAAAATTCAATCATTACAACCGACTATCACTGTATCTAGACTGGGTGTTTCTAGTCTAGAAACTCGAAACTGATCGTTAGAACCCTATTGAAAATAATTCTAAAGGGCCCATCAGCCTGAAGGATTATGGGACCTCACAGGCCTTCAAACCCATTCAAAAATACCCTTCAGGTATACCCCTCAGAAAAAAACCTCCAGCCCCACAGCCCTTCAACCCGAACCCCTTAGCCCATCAACCCTTTAGACGCCCAAATTACTATGAACCACAGACAAAAATTCAGTTCAAAACGTTATTGAAAATTTATTGCAGAGATTAAGTTTTACATGCATATTAAAACCCAAAAAGACGATAAAAACCAACGCTTGTTCAAACCCGAGCGCAAGCAGCTGTCGACGAAAGGAATCATACCAAATAGGAACAACTGACTTCTTTATCACAACGAAAAGTATCCTTCAAAGTACTCACAATGTCGTTGGGTAAATTCCTGATTTTCGGTAGTTCAGCAAATGAAACCGAGCAGGTGCACCTCACGCACACATACACAGTCTAAGTAAGCACGTTTAGCGAAAACCACGAGCTCGCAAGCAGATCCCGTCACCGTTGAGAAATCCCGAGCACAGTCACGGTTTCGTCTATGACGTCGTCGGGGCGGCATCTTCGGCGTATTTTTCGCTCGCTGGATGCTTCTGAAGCCTGTCGGACGAAGAGGCGCAAGGAACAAGGCGGAACAGCGGCCGTCATCCGCCGTCTCAGGACCCACAGTGCCATGATCCCGGTGCGCAGGCACTACGTGCGGTGGGACGCTGATTTCGACTGCCAGGCTTGCGTCGAGTAGGCCGACAGCGGCCACCATCTCCTTGAATGCGCTGAACACGATGGCGCTCGAGCGGTGCTGAAGGCGGCCAACGCCGAACTGGGGTTACCTGCGGAACCAAGGAAAAAAACGGACGGGATTAAAACAGACCAAGGGGCGAGCCCTTAAACTCCTTAACCCTTACCTTTCTGGATGGAGGAAACCGGACCGTTCCAGATCTCCACGGCGGTGAGAAACAAACCGCCCACGAGTGGAAAGAAAATGGCTACAGCGGCCTCCTGACTTCCTCGGCTGCCTTGGCTTCCTCACACCACTCTCTCCCGCCGACTATTAGACAAGCGTGCCGTCCGGCCCTGGCGGTTCTGCACCCTCTCCTCATTGCCGGGCGGGGAGAAGCGCAGTGTGTGTGTGTAGGCGTTGTAAGAGAGGGGGGATTTGAGTTGCCTGTTCGTGTTTTTGACGACGACGAAAAAGAGAGGACTACCGACTCTGGTGAAAAGCAAAATGGTTTTGTTTATTTTTTTCCCCATTTTGGGGATCGTCCCCCGCGGGGAAACCGGTTCCCGGGACGAGTCGCTCCCGCTTCGCCCTTGCAACCTCCCCGGCGTCCCTGTTTTTGGGCAACGCGCTGCTCTCGGCTTGCCCTTTTTATTATTATTCGTGCAACAAGTAAAGCTTGTTCGCCTCAAAACGCCGCTCGGCCAACAACACTCGTCCCGCGCCTTGTCAATTCACCACTTGGGGCGATTGAACCCGCAGCCCCCTTGGCGACCGAACACCCGGCCAGTGACAGACGGGTCGAGGAGCCCAGTCGTGTTTGATAGAAGAGCAGTAATAAAAAACTGACCGTACACACATACGATCGACATTCTCCAAGAACTTATTTTTTTCCCTTTGCGAACAATACGTTGCTATGTTCTAATTCAGCAAAATGTGTTTTCTCCTCCTAGGCCGTGGCCCCACAGACATCTCAAGAAGCCTGAAGGTTTTCCCGACCCCATTAAAAAGGTTCTTGACAGGCTTTCAGACATTTCAAGGCATTTAAAGGGCACTTCAGACATTTCGGGAGAGCCCCGGACGGGGCCCACGAACCCACCAGGAAATATCGGTGCCCCCTTCAAACATCACAAGAATTCCTGATGTCCCCTTCACACCCTTTAAAGATTTCCTGAAGCCCCTTCAGAGCGCTGTTCAATAGCGAAGCAGTACATCGTTATATGTGGTATCGTCATAAGAAAGTTGCACTTTATTTTCTATTAAAAATATATCTGAAATGTAATTGCAGACTGAATGTGAGGATTAAAAAACACACTTGCGTGCTAAATTTAGGTAAGATCTTCAGAAAAGTAAGAAACATTCTTAATTCTCATCCCCTAGGGTTTGGTGATTTCGGAAGAGACACATAAACCTCAAACCAGTGTTTTAACCCACTAATTTGAGCAGTATTTTAAATAGAAGAATCTCGTATTTCGTTCTCTAATCAGTATCTGGACAATTTTCAAGTGTTCATGATTATACCCACATTCTTCAAAGTGGAAAATGTGCGTGGATTTTCTCACGAATTAATTTTCTCGTGAGCTGACATAAATGGGGAAGGGAATGTAAATGGCACTTGACGAAAATGGCAAAGCTGAGAAAATTATTCTCAATTTTTTTCGACTTGAAATTTTCTATTTTACAGTACCTAAAGATGAAATCGAGTAATCATAGTTCATGGGGAAGCTGAAAAGATTTCAGGAATACAATTTTTTTTCAAATTCGATCATTCTCTTGTCATCGCCTTTAAAAGAGCTCCCCAAATTATTTTTGGGAAACGCCGCACTAGAGCAGGACGCATTTGTTATTTGGCCGACGCCGGCTCGTGGACGGGCAGCCCCCCACCGAGCGGGGTTGCTGGTTCTGCTCAAAGATCGGCCACCGGGCCAAGGACTGCCCGCGCCGGCACGGTGCCAATAGCAACGGTAGCCAGAACGACCGGGTGCAGGGAGGTGGCAGCCTCTTGAAGAGATCGAGCCACTGCGCGTCGGGGGAGGGGCCGGGCCCCAAAGGACAACTGGCGCCAGCCCCAGATTGGCGCGTGACAAATGTGCGCCAGCTCGCTTTATACGTCTCGCGTTTGTATATACTCTATTTTCTAGTCTACAGGCTCTCGGTGACACTCGTCAAGTTACTAATTTGAAGCAAGTTCGTTTTGCAAAATAAATTGACGAAATCAAAGTTTTTTTTTAATTGCAGTGAATTACTATGCTTATCCTAACGACAGGCCCGTATAACACTTCTACAATCAACATTACCGCAATATCCTGAGTCATAGCCAACCCCCCCTGCCACCTGAGAACCATAAAAAGTAGGGTGGGCCATGTATGGGTGGGTAAAAACAAAAAGTCGAAAAAATATAAGAAAACGCCAAACGTTTTGTATGCACAGAACGTTTGGCGTTCTGTGCATGCATATTTTTTCTGCTTTTGCATTTACCCACCCAGACATGGCCCACCCCACCCTTTAGCGCGGCTACCCAAGGGATACGTTGCCCGGTAGCGAAAGAAATTGGATCTTTTTTTTAGATCACCCTCGTGTTTGTCTTTGAACATAATATTATTTCGCCAAAGGCGTCAAGCACGTTGAGCTGAGCAGGCCATAAACCAGCACAATTCCCAATGATAAACTAAGCTGCAATATTGTACAACCGATACTACTCGGAGGCTGTGATGTGCTTATAAAACCATAGCCTCCAATGGCTTAGAAAGCTTCAGGAAGAAGGCAGGCGAGCAGGTTAAGGATAGACATAGTAACCCTGGAGCTGGGGGACAAAGAGGGACGGACAGACACGAAACTCGGAGTTTCGTGTCTGTCCGTTCCTTTTTGTCTACCAGCTCCATGGTTAAGATGCCATTTGATTTCGAGGTATTCGTATTTCACTGCTTCCTAATTTGTTTCTGGGCGTTATATTTCTACTAAGTATATTTTCCTCGCTGTGGTTTTCATGTGAAAGGTCCTCACTTTCTCTCTTACTGTAGTCTTACTACGTTTAACATGACATCCGACGAAAGCCAACGGTGCAACCCAACGAAGTCAATTAAGCAGAGGTCGCCCTTTTCGGACGCGCAGTGGGGGAAGGCGGGTGTATTGCCGGAGCGCGTGTTAACCCCCACCCCCCCTTCCCCCCGGTCAGGATGCTTCGCGGCGACAGTCTGAAGATGGCTCATTAAAATGCTATACATAATGCTAACCCACCTGGCTAAAATGCTAACCCACCTGGCCCCCTCTACATGCCGCTTCGCGGCGTCCCGCCGGTGGCCCCAAATGAAGTCCCTCCGTACCTCTTTACAAGTAACGACAACCGATACAACTAACAATGCACATTTCGCTGGAAACAAAATGTCGTCATTCAGTTTAGTTTCCTGCTCTGCGCCTCACTCGTTTCCTAGAACCCTTGCCTTCAGGCAGTCGGCTCTTCAAGGGTTGTTGCTACTTGTAATAAGATATCATCTATAAGAAACTTTAGGCCCAAGCCCTGTGGTTCCCCTTTGCTCCTCCGGAAAGGGAGTCCCATCAAGCACCGGTAAGGTGTATTACGATTGCGCTTGTCTTCGTTGCGCGTTGGCAATTCACGGCTACATGAATCACGCTAAGTAAATGCTGCGTGTTTGTGTTTAAAGTTCTGTGTGTGATTGGGTTAGCAAGCGAAAGTAAACGCACAAAGATGACGAGCGTTATGATTACGCACTTTCGGGCCTGCTTGATTCGCTCCGTCTGACCGTAGCGTTGACGGCGGTTGGACAGAATCTGAAACGGAGTGTAGACTACTAATAAATTTACTTCATAATAATCAAAAAACTATTCCTCGGTTCAGCTTAAATGGAAACTGAAGGGATTCTCTATTTTAAAAAACAAAAACTCATTAAAATTGTCTTTAGTTTGAATTTTACGATTACGAATGACAAAATTATATTTCAGACTGATGCCCCAAGAAGAAACAACTGCGCTTTCGAAATAGCGCAGTCCTCGTCGTGTTCCGGGCCACGAGGGAAGCCTGAAGTATTATGCAGAAATCTCAACATGGACGCGCTTTTTCGCAAGCCTGGCCCAAGCAGTCAAAAACATTGCACGCGTTCCCTCACACGAAAGGCAGCCGAAACCTCTGGGTATGACGTCACACCCAGCGTCTTTTTCCTCCTCAGTTTTTCGTGCATCTGTTGATACTTCCGGTCAGATGATTGTGATATTTAGATTCACAGGAAAATCATGTTCTAAAATCGGGCTTTAGCTCGATTTCTTCAAGAACCTCTACAGCTTTTCTTTAAGGCGAAACGAATTGTAGGAAGGTTTGATAGAAAGAATTCGGGCGATGGCCACCTCGCTTGGATTTAGCCAAGTCTGCTAAGCACTATTGAGGTAGAGGCAGTGAAAATTATGTCGAAATGGCGCCAGCTCTGCCAGGATTCACTTATCCATTCTTCTGCAATGCCATATAGAATGCGAGTACCTCCTCAGAGTCTATTTTGTACTTCCGTTCTACGGGACATCACTTAGTCAGCCTTCTACACCTAAAGTCACGTGATTCCAATCTATCACAAATGCAGCTTACGTGAACGCGCAACACATAAGATAACGTAAACGTATATTGAGCACATAACCACACGACCTATTATGAATATGTAATCACGTAACTAATATGTGGGTGATTTCATTTGAATTCGACCAAACTTGTCGGGGGGGGGGGGGGTCTTTAGATTTAATCGTAAAAAATATATATGATACCCGAATCCTTGTGATGAAAGAAACTGCCTTTGAAAAAAATTAGAATTGTATAGTTTGAGAGAAAAAAATTCTGAGGCGCTGCAGGGTAGAAAACGTCAAATTCCCAATTTGATTTTATCTCGACTTTAGCCGCCATTTACAAAATATCGAATTCTTGCAGAATTATTATATTTATTACGCAATATTTACGCAGACGTGGCTATTTTTAGAGGTAAATTTCTGTCTTCTGTTATTTTAAATTAATTTTCTAAAAAATCTCAAACATGCAACCTAGAGCAAGTGTGACGCAACTTCGGACAGCTATATAAAACGAACGGTAGGGCGCAATGACGTGAGACAGATATGTGTGCGTAGCTATCAATGTAAGCTATCGATTGACATGTATTTTCTGGTTATTGTGTTTACCGTGTTGTTTTTATTCTGCCACAAATATAGACAAAAATGAAAAAATATGCAAATTTTGAAGTCAATTTTCTTAAAAAATCCATTTTTTATTTCGTTCATACTTTTTTAATTTATTGCCCAGATTCTGCTTATTAACAGGGTATAAATATTGCTTGACCTTTTTTTGTTGTAGTTTTAGGACAACCAGTTGAATAAGTCATTTTTATCGCGTAATACCAACCTCCGGCTCCGGTATGCGGGCTTCACCGCAACATTGATAATTGGCTCAGCAATATCAGATTTCACTGAAAACTACTTTACCCCGTTGAATTCTTACTAATATATTTAAAAAAAAAAATCAGTAACGTCATAAAGAAATGAGAGATGGCTGAATTGACGAAGTGATATCTGCGAAGTCACAGCTTGCATTTTCGAACGTCGCCACGACAACGTTTTACTACTGAGGTTGCAGGAAACTTATATATTTAAATTATTTGTTTGAACATTGTGTTGTGATAAACAACAACAAAAGTAAATTTAGTTAACATCAATGTTAACTAGCCTAAGCGAGTGGAGAGATCCAAGACGTTTCATCCGTTTCGATCATGTCGGGTTGCATTCTACGGCACTATCCAGTCCAGAAAAACAATATCCCCGTTTATGCGTTTCGGACAATCTTTATTTTATACAAACATTATCGGAAAATCGGCTCGAATTTTTAAATTTACCGCATGGCATTCTTTCGCCTATCCTTCATTGGCCCTTAGTATTCCGAGGTACGTGAAAAAAAAATTGACTACAATTTGTCCATCCTTCGGCTTTTGGACTACTTGTTGCATACGTTTAAATTTTTTGGGCTACGCACAGCATATCGGAAGTTGCTTTTCAGCTTACAGTAATCATACTCTTTTGTTGGCAGTATGCAATAAAACATTCAAAGGTAACAGTTTAACAAAATCACTCTATTTATTGAGTAATTTATTTGGGTTAACAAGGCACACCTATAGAAACACATAATTTTTCAGAGAAGCGCGACTGTTCAAGAAGAGGCTTTAACAACAAAACAAAACAAAGCCGTAGATCATCTGAGAGTTCTGCACGTGCACCACAGAGGTTCATGCATTAAGACGAAGATAGAACAGTTCGCTCAAGCTGCACTTCACCCCTTTCGCGTCGCCACACGTGCGAAGCGCGGATGCCTTTCCGAGTCGGTACGCAACTCCACTCTGTTTTCTTGATTCTGCGGAAGTCACTCACCTCCTTCTCGGTTAAGTTCATGAGAGTTACGTTTTTGACACGCCTTCCAACCTTGTCCACAAAATCTACTGATGTTCGGACGAGCTGCTCCTCCGGTGAACGGAGGTTGTGCACCGTTGCGTGGTGTTTGAGAAGCCCTCCAACCCCGTCACAAGAGTTTTTACCATGCCCAGAGGCAGAAAATATCCACTTCAATTGGGTATGGCCCACTCGTTCGAACTCATGCAGCTGAAATCTATTTTTAAAATGAGCAGGTACCCCGTCGGATATGTACGTTAGTGAAGCATAAACTGGGATGTGCTCCTCCAGCCAGTCTTCTATAAGTATCAGAGCCAGCAGCGCATGGGAAGTGTCATGACATAAGTCCTCACAGACAACGCCGAAGCATTTTGAGCCTTGCGACGTGGATGCCACGCACGTGAACACAGAGAGCTCACGCTTGTGCCAGTGGTACTCCTGTATCTCGTGTGGCAAAATTACCGTCCAGTTCTCCGCAAAATCGAAGTGCATGACGATGTGTCTTGAGGTCACACTAGACTTCTCAATCCGTATGGCTTCCCGTTGTGTCCTACGAATAAAATCGTGCGTGGAAAACCTTGTGGCCCATTTCTGTAGCTCTTTCAAAAAGGCGCTGGAGTCGGCAGTCTTGCTTATCAAATTACCATTCTCCCATGTGAAA